TATTATTCGGGATGAGAAATATTACAGCATAGAACATGTTTTTATGATATTTTTTAACAGATAGTCTTGTATTTGCTCAATCTGGTCAGAGGTTTGGTATAAATGAAAATAAACCAAAAATGTACATCGGCATCATACTGAGGTAGCTCTAACAGTATCTGTACGCTTTGTGAGTTTGCAGTAACAGTACTGCAAAAGCAACGGACCTGTTGCAGAACCTTAACATTTACCCCTGTCATGACATTCAGTCCTCTCCAATTAAAAAGAGAATAGAAAAAAAAGGACTGATTAAAAATATAAATAGAACAAACTCTCCTTTCTCTTTTTCCAGCCACATGAGAGCCAGGTGAGATCCATCCCCCTGTAGCAGCAAGGTGATCCGACGTCAAGGTTAGATGACCACGTTTTTTTTGCTTTATTGTGTTTAGAGGCTCACTAATGCAGCGTTCCTTTAGTGATTATGGATAGCAGGGGAGCAGCAGCGGTGTTTGGGGACTCTTCTGATTTCTGATGGTTCTATAATGCTCTCTCCTTCATGGATCACTCTCAAAGCTGTAATGCCTCACAGTGATGCGTACTTTATTATATTTAACCAGAGGTTAAACAGATAGTACACACCACTGTCCTTGACGAGTCCAAATAAGTATGGATGTCTGTTGTGGCTCCATTAAAAAAAAAAAAAGAGGAAAAAATAGCCACGCATTTGTTCACTGGACACAATTTGATCCCGAGAGAGGATTGATGTGATGACTGAAATATCCAAGCCGGCCAGTTCTCTGCGTTTGACTGTAAAGTTTCAGGTTTTGGCCTGGTTTAGAATACTCGGTTTAAAATGTTTCCTTCCCTCGTTTGTTTTCTGACAGCCGCTTTACTTCGGCTAATGGTGTTTTTATCAGCTTTGGCAACAAAAAAGAGTCTTCCCACACACATTCTTCAGCCGTTCAGGGACACAGAGGTGTGATCAGGCTTGACAGGATATGCATGACTCCAGTTTGTCACGCCTTACTCCAGGGCTTCAAATGTCTCCAACGATCACATGCCTCGGACATCTTACCAACGAAGTCGATTCAGTCATGTGGCTCATTTGTTTTCAGCAGCTCTCCCAAATATGAGCTGCTCATCAAAGCAGCTAAAGAAACAATCACAACCCTTCCTTATATGTTTAATTTTGACTGCTCTCCACAGTGCCATGGAGATTTAGGAAGGATGGAGGCAGCATGGTCACAAAGGGAGGCGGTCGGAATAAATGGACAGAAAATACATACCTCAAAACATTCCCCATGACAGTCTGGAATTGATTTCTTATTTCCATATTGAACTTTGTACTCTCCAACCCAGATAATGAACATTTCCTTTTGAAAGCAATTTGATTTGAAGCCAAAAGATAAATCATCCACGGTAGACGTGAGGTGCCGAGCTGGTTAAACAGGAGGACATGGTGACAATTTAAGGGGGGAAAGTAGGTTTAATTTAACCAAAAACATGCAAACGATATACAACAATTAACTAAAGGCCTTTGAGGAATTTCAAATGAACAGAATGCAATTTCAGAATACAAACAAAACCGACAATGGGGACTTAAATATCGGCTGATCAGACCACACAAATAGGAAACACAAAATACAAGAAAAAAAAAAGAAAAAAATACTGTCAGAAAATGATACATTTTCAGTTAATTCAACATTTGAGTCAGTTTAGTATCAAACACATGATTAAGTAACTGGAATCAAAGAGAATACAAAACATTTAAATGATGTAACTTAATTATAGATGTACCCCAGCCAAGATGCGCTTGTTGTTGTTGGTTTGGTCCAATGTGCACTCTAATGATGGTTTCCTATTAGTACTGGCTACACCTTTGTGTAGGATGGCCGTGGTGGTTAATGTGCGAGGCATTTACAACGCTGATGATCACAGAAATTTTGAAATTGGAGGTTTCTTGTTGCAATGGTTATAAAACAAAGGGCAGAGCCCTGATGAAGAAGTCAGTTTCATGACTCATCTGGTCCAGTAACTCCTTGGCCAATCAGTGGCTGTCGGCCTGCCATTTCCTGACCCAGTGCTCCAGCGTAGCTGTTACGCACATACAAACAGAACCAACGCATCTCAACAGTTATGTGTTTAGAATTGATATGGAACACAATATGGACACATGGGGCATTTCCATTGGTACCTATTCGGCTCCACACACCTTGCCTCAGTTTGGATAGTTCTCTTTCAAATTGAGGGCCAAATGGAAAGTCGGGCAGACTGACATGGGATGTCATTTTATTCTGCACAAGCGCGACACAACAATGAAGGACATGATGATGATGATGATGATGATATACCGATGGAGCTTCAGTGTCTCGTCTTACTGTCAGAATCTGGAGAGACAATTTAGCAAGTCGACTATTCAATTGATGGTCAAACTGATTTGTACTTTTAAAAAATGTTTTTAGGCAGTGGTGGCCATGAATTTGAATCGAAGGGACTGCGCTTTTGTCACATCAATATTCAATGTGGAAAAGCTTGCTTTACAAGAACTGGAGCAAAAGGTTCTAAAGAATGTCAAACTTCACTTTGCATTGGTCTTTGATAGCTTCGCCTCTGCTTCACTTTGACGAGGTTGTGTACATCACCCGAAAAAAAAGTTCATTGGGAGCAAACAATCCTCTTGAAGGACTTGTGGCCACAAAGACAGGCCCGAATTAAATAGATTGTGTTAGACTCTACAGCACAACAGACGAAACAAACATTCATATCTACTGTAGAAAATGCAAACCGCAGACTTCTTACATGTATAATTTCCTTCTAAACACATTTGCAGTTGATATCTACTACGAGTCAGTAAGGTTTATCTTATTCTATGATAGAAAAAACATTATGACTACTGAAGTGTCGCCCGGCACAGCTGTCATCTTTATAAGTGAAACTTTAAATGCTAATATACAACACAGTGGTTGGTCAGCATCCGGCTTTTTGAACACGCTACTTCTTTTGATATCAAACGTGACAGCCAACAGTTGGTGTCGATGGGATGCTGCTGGCTTTCCGGGTCCACTGGGCGTGTTGAGAAACACTCAGCACAACCAACAGTGACATCTTGACTGGGAAAATGCTGTTAATGTCCTGCAGAGTTAAAAACAAACTCCCGCCCTGCACCCTTAAGCTCATTTACATGCACATTGACCCAAATAAACTAATGGGTGCTTCTGATTCACCACCATCCATAAACAGTATAAAACGATGTCTTATGTACATTGGAGGAAGCACTTGCTTGTATGATGTAGAATGACATCTTCAAGCCGTTTCCATAGCCTGTGAAAGGCATAGATTCTGGTTATATACGGTCTACGGCCGAAATAGGGAAGAATTTCATATTGAAACATTCTAGTATCTGTTATGTGGATGCGGAGTAGCAAGTACAGCCACCAACAATAATTAAGACAAATCCCAGACATAGATGTAAAGGATCATTTTTGTTGAGAAAAAAAAAAACTAAACTAAAAGATTGCTGCAGGACCAGACCAGAGCGTTTCAATCCCAAACCTTTTCACAAGCAGAACTCTAGATCTTTCTTCAAGGGGAAAAGCATCATCGAAAGCGCTGGATATGTTTTTCTTGATTTATATCTTCGGCTCCGGGCTGCGTGTCTCCGTCTGTCTGAGGCTACTGTAGTTTTTCGCCTCGTTGACTTGTTAATGATGTGGTAAAGAAACGTATGAAACCAGTCTGTCGTACTCTGTGAAGCAGAAACGTGGCGTTGTCCGCCGCAAAGGAACCCGAGCAGCATGTTCGCATGCTTCAAAGCTTGATTGAAGGCTCATGTTAATCTTTTTATCAGCATGATTAAAACATGAGTTTCTGCTCTGTCAAAACACAGCTGGGATTGATTTTCGCCCCTGGACACTGACTGGAAGAGACTAAAGATGTTAATAGCAGCACGTCTGCTCAAGAGATTTTTAACTCATGTGTCGGACTTCTTCACAAATGACCAATTTATGCATTAGGAAAGGTATCCAGCATAAAACTCCTGCCTGAACCTATCATGTGACACAAGGCTGAGAAGCTATGGCGACCTCTGATGGGAAAAAGACGAAAGGCGATAACATAAACACACACGTACATATGCTATGTTATAAAAAGAAATGAGGTTTAGTAAGCTGACAGTTGCACATTTCGGCATCCTTTTTGCTGCAAGATTCTCAGGTGAACCAATAAGCCTAAACCAACACACGTTTGTTTTTTGTTGTGAGGTCGTAAGGAAGCAGAATAGGGAGGCAGTGGCACACAAACTGCAATGGTCAGTTCTTTAACCACCTTAAACTCAAGTTTAATTGTTGACTTTTTAAAGTAGTTCTTATAAGACAATTTAGTGAAGGTTACCTTTTTGCATTTTAACATTTAGATAATCACAACTTCAATGAAAACTTTATTCCATTTGACATACTTATTAGTGAGACGGAATATTAGAATATTTTAGCTGTGCTTTCCATATTGTCATAATTGGAACACATGTACCATTTTAAAATCTTTAATTCCAGTTTTCTTTGACAACATATTAATAAAATCTCATCTTAATTATCTACCGTTTCATTCTTTTGAGCGAATTGGGTCATTTTGCTCGTAATAAAACTAGAAAATGAGGTGAGGAGCGTGCGTATTAATCATTCAAAAAGGAGACAATGATGCATGCAGGGCTCAAGGGAAAGAAGATTTTCTCAGACTAAAATGTGTTTAATAGACAAAGGAAAGACTGGATAGAAGGACTTATTTACTGATTGCTACCTAAAAATCAGGTGATAGCAGGATATGTTTGGATGTCTACAATCAATACAATTTAAATATGAATAAAAAGTCAGGCCTGTTTCTATCTTTTCCTTTTATCTAGTACAAATGTTTATTTGCATTAAATTATACTGGAAACCAAAGTTTTGAACAGGGGCCTGTAGTAGGCACATACTGTAGTAGGCAAGACTTGTTTCAGTGGCTTTGGGAATTTACCTATTTTCCATTTCTGTAACCATTTAAGCCGGACGGATGAAGCTTCTTACTCGCTGCTCTGAAGCACACCGGATACGTCATCCCGGTCCAGCTGTTCCACACCACTGCTATGCATTGGTCATCCAAAAGGAGGTACTTTTTTTCCACTTTTTCTGTCTACTTCTTGTATGGTTTAACCGGGGTCAAATGATGTGAAATAGATTTAGTGTCACGGCTAATGCAGTAATCACATAATGCAGACAGGAGCTTCCTCCACACCTGTTTCCTAGGTTTTGTGTGCTTTTGTGTAAGAATTTGGGTCAGGTCATCAAAAAGTGCCAAAAGCTCTTGGGAGAATGCTTATTTTAGATGAGAACGCTGCCATTGGGGGCATGATAGTGTGTGCAGCTCTCACTGTCTTTAGGCGAAAACACAAGTTTGCCGGTCATATAACATCTCTGATCCAGGCTCTGAAAGTGGCTTCAACAACTTCCGGGCAAAAAAAAAAGAGGAGAGACGAAACTGTTTTATCCGTCTGCTGCACAGCTGGAAGTCTCTGGAAGTCCTGCTGTGTGGGGCAGGTGTTTTTTGTCAAATAGAAAATACCGCTTTTCCGCAAATGGAGGCCGAGGCCTTCATTTACCTCAAAAGCTTAGGGTACCGAGCCTCTGTTAGGGGCAGGCTTTTATTTCAAATTCCCGTTGTTATTAGCGCAATTGTTGTCTTTGTTGTATTGTATCTATTTGTTTTTGTCAACTCTAACCCCTGCCATCGTACCCAACCTGGCGTTTCATTGAATCCTTGTTTTTATGTCAGGAAAATTGCCTAATTACCTCAGACACATGTTATCTGGAAAGTGGTCAAACACAGCCTACGGGAAACAGTGCAATGACATCCCTTTACATTGTTGTAGTTACCGGCTTCTCCCCTGGGAGGTAATGGTATACTGGAACATCTCTGAAGCACTGAAGGGTAAACACATTGTTATAGGAAATGAGAAAGGGTCGTGTCCCATTTAAACACCATTTTTTGTGTGAATGAAACACACCTATAGATCTGTTATGCAATGTGGAACGTTATCCAGTCAGAACCAAATCAAAGGTGACTATTAAAAATATCTAAGAGAGAAAGAGAGCGCAGCGGCGCCAAACTCAAAGTATAAACCCCATCGAGTCAGATTCTAATCGAGCGCCTGATCTCGGCGTGGTGCCAGGGGGAGAAGGACAATTTAACGTCTGAGCCGAGAAGGTTTCAAAGGCAGCCATCGAGGCCAATGTAGGGACAAACCTTACTCAGCACCATTACAGCAGCACTGCGCTCTGTTTGGCAGCTCTATTAGAGCTCTTTAGGAAAAGCGTCACAGCACAGAAGACTAACATGTCCCATGCTCTATTTCAACCCCACCACAAACACCCACACAGGTTAAGGTGAGGAGAAAACTATTGTCACAGAGAGGGAGCGAATTGTGTCACAGAGCACCAAATAAGAATGGTCATAAACTTAAAAAAAGAGAAGGTTTATATATCGCCTGTGCTCATGCTCATTTTTTAACTGCTCCGGCACACGCTCTTTTTAGATTCAAAGACATAATGAGATGCTTTCTTATTTGATGATGAAGCAGTTCTTAGGGGTGCACCCCTGGCTGCTGCCATGGAGTCACGGTTAAAAACGGTTGACTGAGAAAGACAAGTAAGGAGCTGCGAACATGTAAGATGCTTTATTGAAAGATTGGTTGATTCGCAAAAATGATTAGTTTTAACTTGAAATATGATCATTTAATTGGCAGACGGCAGGAGAAAATGATGACGTGTGATGACTAGAAGTTAAGCTGACACATCTCAGCCTCCGGGTCCCACATGAGAAAAGTCCCACTTGTTGCTAGACCCCGTTCTGCAAAAAGATGAAGGGTCTTTGGGAGTGTGGAGTGGGAATTGTCTGGCAGCACGTTATCAAGCTCTGCTGATTTAGAAAAATGTTCCCAAATTGTCCGACACACATGCCTCTGATTCCAGCTTGAGGATGAGGCACATGCATCTCTTGATGAAGCTTAACATTATATGTGTATAATATAAATGTCCTGTGAAGCTATTGCAACAAGACGCATTGAAACTGATGAAAAGGAAATAGAATCCTTAATTTGTTTTCTTTAGCTGATGACCAAAACCTGCCACAGACTATGAAACAGAGTATCCAATCCATCGGTTTGAGTTTGGATTTGTCGTGTTTGCCTGTGGGAGTGTCTCCCCGTATAGTTCTGTTAAGCATCTGCCCATCCAGTGAGTTTGATTGAGATAGGTTGTGAAGGTGTTGAACATGACACTCAGTGTTTCTTTTTGTCCCATGGGAGAATCCCTCACGTTTTCCTGAAGCCCTGTCTGGTTGAATACAAGTCTGAAGCCCCATGCCGACAAAAATTATTTAACAGTCCTTCATTTTCAGTGCCTTGGGCTTTCTGCATGAGCTCCGCTTGTAAAGCCAAGCCACAGCGTCAGGGGGCTTAAGCTGAAATTCGTTTTGTGAGCGCAGCTGAACCCGACTCAACTCAGTTTACTCACCTTTTGGGAAACAGACTTTTCTCATTCTGACATATTGAACTTTCGTGATTTAGGAGCTACTCAAAATGTTTCCCGATACAGGCATTCAATTAATCACTTCTCAAATCCACTGTTCATTCTACATGGCATCAGTTTGAACATATTACTTTAAACCGACGGAGGTCCCCCGATTAAAGTCTAGTTGTGACTATTGTCAGCAAAGGCCATTATCACTCATACCTGGGCTGTATGTCACAAAAAAGACAAAAAAGGTCAATTGCTTGTCCCTATTGGAATGAACGGGGAAAAGGGGAACTATGTGACTCACTTCAGTACTTCTGTGTCAGAGCAAATGTCAACCTCAGTGGCTGCCTGAAGCCACAAGGTCCTCATAAAGAGACTGCAAAGGTGGAGTTTGACGGCTCCATTACGCACATCCTTGTAATTTGCTCTCGAGATCTTTCCATTCATCTTTTTACTTTACTCAAACTTTTTTCTTCTTTTTAAGAAACTTTTCTCCTCTGCCTGGTTTGGTTCAGACAATATCATCACTTGGTTTTGGTTTAGAAAAAATGGTCATGGTTATCGCTCAAAAGTTTTTCTTAATTTCAACATGGTTACACTGTAAGAAAAAGAAAACATTTCGACCCATTTTTCTAAACCAAAACCAAGTGATGATATTGTCTGAACCAAACCAGGCAGAGAAGAAAAGTTTAAATACAGTGTTACCATGTTGAAAAGGGTTACAAGTAAATCTTATTTACTTACTATACTTACTTGATCGCATTCTGTAAATTGGAATACTTGCTAATAGACCTATGCTTTGTCTGATCACCTGCTGAGAATTTTTTTTCTGTTATCGTGTATGTTTATTTAGTTTCTTTTCTTTTACAACCAGTTTCTTTGCGTCCTTTTCCTGCAACAACAAAAAAGATGTCTGCTTGGAAGTATTTCCTCGACTGGTTGATACAATTTTGTGCAGTACTGTATAAATAACAGTACTTCATAGGGAGTGTTAGTTAGAAAAAGTACAAAAAAATTATTTCAAAATAAACTCAAATGTTCATCTTATCAGGCTCAGAGCATAACCATTCTCCACATCAACACAGTGACTTGGCAAACACATTGATTTGTGTTACAAAATGCATTTTCTACAAAAAATAACATAAAAAATTGTGAAGACTCCGTTCATCCGAGCAGATTGAGGAACTTTTGAGATTGTTTTAGAGTGTGTTTTAGTATGGGACTGCCCAAAATTCAGGTTAGCAGGAACACAAACTTACATGGAGAGCCTCTTAGGAATCTGGCCTGTTTCCGTGGGCCTGCAGAATGTCCAGTACATCCTAGTCCAGTCCTGCTTATGCTGTCCGTTTAACACACCCAAAACGAATAGACTTTATAAAACAGCATCAAATTCCTCCATCATCTGCTCAAGTTTTGGCTACGAAGATTCTGCTGCTTTGAATATCATTCGTTGTGTGCATTAAATAGAAAAAAACTGCCAACAAAATGAATAAAAAAACATCAGTATGAAGTAATTGCTTAATTTTTCATTAGGATTTAAAGCTTTTCCAGATAAAATGATTCTGTATGTTCCTGCAGGTAATTGTGACCCTTAATACAGAGTAGTCCTTACTTTTTTTACTTGAACCTCTGGAAGAAAACCCATTAAAAGAACCACTTAACATTGCCTGAGTGTGGCTCAGTGACACCAGGTAGGAACAAAAAAAAAAAAGGCAGACGGCATAATTAGACACGGCGGATTCAGGTCAGAGAGGGCATCCGTCGCCTTTTCACTTTCTTACAAATTAGCAACGGCGGATGTATTCAAATAATGATTCTTTTCTTCCTGACAGAGTTGAAAGGACTGAGCTGGAGAAGACCACAGGAGCCACCAGGAGTGTTCCAAAGAGCCTGGAAATCAGATGCCGTATGCAGACAGAGTAAGATGGCTGATTTTCGAATGTCAAGTGAAAGCTTTCTTCCACTGATGAATACATATGGCCCGCGCGGAACGCTGTATCCCTCCTCCTTGACTGCAACGAAGATGCCCAGTGAATGTGAAACAGAAGCAGATGGTAGCCAGCACACAGGCAGGTCAGCGCGGTCCTTACTGCAATGTGGCGTGGGAGAAAAATAAATTAGTGTAACCTTAACAATCATTTTACATGTTTTACAAACTTTCACACAGATTGAGTGCATCGCTCTCTACTTTTATCTAACATCAGGACTTCTCTGCGATTGAATCAACATTAGTTTATTTAATAAGAATTAGGACTTCATACTGAACCCAACTCTATGCTTGGAAATAGATACTTCCAAGTGAGGTTTCTGTAATGGATTCTGCTCAGCACTGTGCTTTGAGCGGTTCCTTTTTACTATTTTTTTCTTTTAAGGGTAAATGGACTGTGTTTATACAGCACTATGATAGTTTAGTTGACACCTTGTTACAGGCTACGGTTCTTTCTTTTTTTTTTTTTTTCTCCACGGCGCACCTTCATGCACTGACAGACGCACTGCAGGCAACGTAGGGCTCAGTCCATTACCCCAAGGACACTCTGACATGTGGCCTGAGTAAGCCAGGGATTGAACCAGAGACTGCCCTGCCCCCCACGCAATCCATGAACGCCCTGTTTGCCTCCACACAGACATACAGGATTTCCTGGAAAACAGCTTAGGTAGGCTCCCCCCCTGGTGCATGATGAAAAAAAAAAAAAGAAGGATACGTTGAGACTTTTTTGTTTTGAATTTTTCTCGTTTTGGTAAGGTTTCCTACTGCTATTGTGACAGTATTGAATTTGAATATTTTTACAAAGGTTTGTTTGTGTGTGAATTTGGTAATGACAAGTGGTGTTTTGTTTTTTTTCGGTACAAATTTATCTCCAGTTGGTTTCTTTGTGGTTTCCTTCTCCTGACAATGTTCCTGATTACTGATTTTGCTCTTCTGCAGTTTGTGCTGGTGTGGCTGTCAAAAAGCGCCAGTTCTTCTGTCCACCAATGTGTTAGAGGCCTGGCCGGTTTTCATGTTTAAATCAGTTAAAGCTCACGCTGTTCAAGTTTGGATATTTACCTCTTCCTCTGGCTTTCAGGAAATAAACTGCCTGGAGCTAACAGCCCCACCATTTACTTCGGTCCAGGTAAATGTCACTCTGCACCGCTATCATTACAGCCAATCCACAGTCACAGGCTTCAATAGCTCCAGCCTTCTTGATTTTTTTTTGCGACAGAAAACCTTCAACAAGTCATTGTACTGGGACAAAATGTTTTTTTTATGCATCTTCTAACCTGTTTTTATCTTTAAAGACAAAATTTAGAGAATTTAATACAGCTCCTTTTTTCCCGCCATGTGAGGTTTTGAGTGAGTTGAGTTGATGAGTTGTTGCCTTGACTACAGACCACAGCAGATGTATAAGGGCCTCACCTGGTGACCAATGTTTACCAAAATACGTTTAAAGGTCTGATGAGTCCACCGATGAGTCCAAACTACCTTTATTGACCCTTATGCCAATCTACACAACACGATACTATACAAAAGATAGTATCTTTATTTTGTTTTTCTCACAAAGTTCTATTGACATGAATAAAAGGAGGAATTGTGAAAGTGTAAGTGAAGTGCCTTAATGGTCTGCACCAATGATGGTTAAGATAGACAAATCTCACTTAATTTGCCCAATTCCTTTTAATTATTGTATCAAGGTGCCTCAATAATTGGTTAATTTTCCCATCAGAGCCTGGGGAATCATAGTGAATCAACTTGTTAGGTCCTTGGTGCATTCTGCTTAAAAAAGTATCACTGTTCATTCTGCTGATTGGCCAGCTCTACTAAGCTAAGAGTCTGGCCAATCAATTGGCCAATAGAGCTTAATGATGGGCAAATACACATTAAAAAGATTGTGCTTACCAATCGTTAGATAACCCTAAGTTTGGGACAGGAGATGGAAGTGGAAATATACACTGTATTTTTTTCCCAGATACTGCTGGCTGATCTTTGGGTGCCTGTGGTTCTGGGGTAAGAGCATTTGCCTCCAAGATGGACGAGTGGTGGTTTGATCCCAGGCTACATGTTGAACTCGGGGTTCGAGACATTGGACCCTGCCAAGTTTCCTGCCAAACGTACCATACAAGTCAAGGCTGACATATTGTGGTCTTCCCTGATGGGAAAAACCTTAAAGGTAAGACTAATTGTTCATTAATCATATATAGCAATATTTGTAATCTAAGAATAGTTATTATTATGGCTTTTCTTTCTGACCATGCTACCCTTAGAGGGCACTGTCCTGCTCATCCCATCACTTACCAGAAGACGAAAAGGGAAAATAACCACCTTTTCTAAAATGTTATCATATTCTTGTTTGCATAAAAAATCTAATCAGATTCACAATGAAAGTGTTTAGCAATCTAACATTTTTTTAAACCAAGGAAACAGATGGTATCCGCACAAAGAAACTCAATTTCATAACAAGATTTGCATAGCAATGCACTTTGTGCCATTGACAAAACAGTAACTATTAACATTTTGATGTGTTCAGGGACATGGTACGTAAAAAAATCAGACACAGCTACAGTATTGCCAGATAGATACAAAGTCGTTCATAAAGGGGACACTGGGTGAAAATGTCATTGTTCCAAAAAAAAAAAAACTGCGCGGTGAGTGATGGCCAATGTTCAGCTGTTTCTGGAAATGAAAACTCCCCAACCTAGTGACATTGCTCTGACGTGAGGGATGCACACCGTTACTCCTGATAGCAGAGTGACATGGATTTGGAAGATTTCTAATCTCAGATGCATCTGAACACGTGCCGAAGATCATCCACATCAAAGCTCTTTTTCAGCCGTAAAGCTGAAAGTGTCCCTAAAAGTCTCATAATTGCTTTAATTCAATAAACAAACAATAAAACGACTGAATTTGACAGGGGATCAGATTTAGGCACAACACAGATTAATCAGCTTGCTAATTAGTAGGTCTTATACCCTGGCACTGTAAAACTGTGCATATCCATTCAGCCCAACGACTGTAATCCAAAAGGCTACAACATTTGTGTTTTTAAATCTACATTTTACTTTACTTAAGACTTCAGTCCAGCCTAGGAATGTTTCTTTTGGACCTCAGTGCTGCCAGCACCTTCTGTTCCAGTGGTGCAAATATTACAATTCACTCTGGGAAAACGTATTCTGGGTAATTGTATTCAACGTCTTATCTGAGTAAACATTTAAAAGGAAAATCAGCAGCTTCTGTTGTTCCTGAGCCCTGATTTTATTTTATTTTTTTTGCTTTATTAGAATGATTCAGAGAAATGCAGCAGAGCGGAAAAGCCTGGAGAAATCTTCTTGGTATTATAAGCCCACCTGATATTTATCCATCCTGGGGTTCTAGTGCTAAATGTTAAAATGTCAAAACAATGTTGCATTTTAGTTGGCAGTGATGTTTTTTCTTTTCTTTATTTTGATGTTATGTTTATTCTTTACTGGAGTCAGTTTCCTTTTCACTTGCATCAGAGTCTCCTTGCTGCTCGGGTGTTTTATTCCTAAATGTGGTCAGTTTACTGTAGGTCACTCTACCCTTTATTTCTCTAACTGCAGACCTGGAGACTAAGGAAGCTGAACTGTGTCACCAGTATGTGTGGTCCCTTATCTGAAGCCTGTCCAGATGCGGAGCAGAGATGCACTGTCGGTGAGATTTGCTGGCATTGTTCCAGTTCATTGGCAAGTGGACGGAAGAGGCTTTCCTGCATCGCTTCAGACGTGCTGCTGCAGATACTCCGATCTGCCTGTAAGACCGGCGGAGTACGTTAGAGGGATAAACTTCGCCCCCGGAGCCTGTGAGATATCAAATTCAGGGGATGCCCTTAGCTTGGTGGCTTATCCCAGTTTAATCTTTCTGCTCAATGCCCTGCTCCGGTTGTGCATTTTTATTAGGCTCCAGAGGCACTGGGCAGCCACGGGATGCACACACACGGCAACGAAACGCCTCTTTGTAGCTTCGGTTGCATCTGAATGTTGTTGTCCCGATCAAACAATCGGTATGATCCTTTGTCACTTGACCTCCCGTCAGAAATGAGTAGCAGTCCTACTCCGGGTGGACTCTGAGGCCTCTTGAAGCGGGCCGTGTTCAGCAAAGGCCAGATAAACAGCATTGTTGGGGAGAAGGCGTGCGGTGCGGTGAGATTTCGCCAGTTTTAACAAGCTGTGAGTCTTTTGTGTGCGGGGTGGCTCGCGGGTAGGATGCCGGCCCGAGCAGATGATGTTCTGAAGGGACCCTGACAGCTTACAAAACACCTGCCCGCTATGACAGATCGCCTGTGATCCTGCAGAGATACGCCGGCTGTTCAGTCCCACTTTGAGATGTCACAGGAGGCGGGTCGGGCCCGACTTTTTCACTGATAGATTTTTTTTTCTTCCCCCAACAAAGAGATGAAAGATTCAGCGTGACCCGTGGCTTAAAATAACTTACTGACGGTATCGGCAGCTTACAGATGAATAGACAGTGCTGTGGCGGGGAGGAAACATATCAGCACCTCCACATGTGGAATGACTTACCCTGATGTGCCATGCTCTGTTCATTCATTCATTTTTTTTTATTGTACGGTTATGCACTGGACAGCTGTGTTACAATGCTAAACATTATTGTGCAGGTTGAGACTTGGCAGATTTATGTGGCTAAGATCAGAGTGAAGGCAGAGTTTTAAAATGGCTGCATATACCTGAGGATCTAAAAACCAGTAATAAGATAGCACAAGCAACAAAATCACTGAGTTCATCACCCAAAACCACCATTAAACCAATATTTTGATTTTATCTACCAACCCTGTAAAGCGGTGTCAAAACAGACATATAAACAAATTATTATATTTTGCAGAGTGATTGTGTGCTCCTGCACAAACGCACCTATGTTCTCATCTGTGGCTGATAATGTGCATTTTTTTTTTATACTAGTCAAAGAGGTCAGCACTGGCACCCCATAGAATCCATCCATCCATTCATTTTCTTCTTGGCAGGGTCACGGGCGGCCAGGAGCTTGACCAAGCTGTCACTGGCGGAGAGGCCGGCCACACCGTGGGGAGGTGGCCAGTCCATCACAAGCTCCATAGAATCCCCAAAAATCCAACAAACAACATCAACACATGGTGAGTAATACACCATAAAACACCCCCAGAACACTGAACTAGCCATTAAAAGTTGTATATATTATGTAATCTTTGAAATAGGATTTGATAAATGTAAGGATGCAAAGCAGAATGTTTTAAGTATACAAAGTATTACAAAGCAGGTAATTAGCGTTTAACTGGAAGAAATTCACATTTATTAACATTCAAATTGAGGAGGATGCAATTCTTTTGCCGTTCCAAAAACCTGCAAGTAAAATCTTAATAAATCATTTTTATTTTATTGAAAAAAGCACAAAAAACATTAAAATTAAGTAATATGTCTAAAATCTAAATAAAAAAGGATAAATGATTGAATTTTATAGGAGATTCAGTCTCAGTTCTTGTGCCTGATCCTCACTTTTATCATTGTTATATTTAAGATAGGGTTGAAAGATGCTATATAAGTGCATAGTCATAATTCATTCCCTTACTCCCGACACCACTATCACATCTAAATGAATAGTTCCTTGAATGCAATCCCTAACCTATAGCCAACCCTGACAACAACACTGAGTGTTGAACCTCAAAAAACACTTTAAGTGTTTGAAATCCATAAATTTATCATCATGGAGCTGTCAGATACCCACAAGCAGAGAAAGCTCTTGGTTTCCAGACCCCACAAAATGTGGAATAGGACGGCTGCCCACACAGGTGAAAAAAGTTCAAACAAGATTCAGGTATGCTGTCGGGGCTGTTAATTATTCAAACGTTATTATGTGGAGGGATCACACCCACTGGAACGCCAGAGACAGCCCTGTGGTAATTTGACCACACAGACAACAATGGTGAGAGCTAATAATGGATGCCCTCCTTCCAGCTCAATTTTCTAGCTGATGATTTCAGCTATATTAAGACGCAGGGTTTCTGGTCTCAGCCACACATCTTAATTGTTCCCTCGGTGGTTTTGACATTCATTTTTGACATTCATGTCAAATCACGGAAAAAAAATAAAGTCAAAAATATAAAAGTTGGACTGGATACTGTTGCTGTCTCCAGGAAACACAGTAATGTGCGCCCTTTCGTGAATATTTTTACAGTATGGAGTCGCTAGTAGGTGGGCTGAGACCTTGTTTTTTTTTTTTCTTTGAAGCTCCTAATGTAATGCAGAGGATGTAGAGCTGCTCCTTTGTCACATTCTTGGTTACTCACCAAGAAAAATGTCACGGTCGGTGCGTTCTCTCCACCTAAAGATCCTCTCAGCACCTTACAATGGCAAATTACCGTCCGTGTGCACGCTCTTTAATGTAATTGGGTAAAAACAAATTATGCAGCAAAGGTTGTAGAGAAAAAACACACGGGAGATTGTCTTTTGCTTTTTGGCTTGCGCTCTCCGTCTGCCTTTTTCTGCCAAGCGCATCTGAGCTGGTTATGCACGGAGCAAAACGTGACCCACAGTCTGGGAGATATACCGGCATATTGTGCGCATACATACAGCATGAATAATTTACTGCCTTTGCATAGGAAATCTGGGAGTCTGCGCTCTGCCGGTATCTTGGCCCATTTTTTGCTTGGCGTTGTGAAACTGTTACTGTAGTGTTCTTTTTTTTTTCTTGCAGGGGGAGGCGTTACAACCTGAGCAACCTGTTCCACCTGATCCCCTGCGGAGCTCAGCTGGACTCAGAACGACAGGTACTATAGAAAAGTTTCTTTGGAAAAGAGGGTCTTTGGTGTTCTAGTCTACACTATGAATGGTGATAACAGAGTCTCCATGGGCCTTCTGCTTTGCTGATGCCTGTGTCCCAGTGCACCAAGAACAACAAAAAAAAGAGGGGATTTTTTCGCTAACAAACCTGCAAACACTATTTGATGATCATCTAAGATCATAGGGAGAAAGGTCGGTTTTAATTTGGCAGTTGTGCCTTTTAAGATTATGATGTCGATAAAGAACAGACAAAGAGACCTGCAGGAGAAATCAACTGCTGCGGGGCCATATTGAATTCAAATGTGATACAAAATTGTGCTTCATTGGACCGCTGAGATTGCTAATTAACACTTTCCACTCCTCCTCTCCCTACTTGTCTTAAACTCTCCTAAACACGCTGCTAACAATCAAGATTTATCACACGGTGCCCAGTAATATAATCTTTTTTAAGGAGGCCTCGCTGTGCAGATTAGACAAGCCTGACTTCATGAGATGCCGCAGCCGAGTGGTCAGACGGCGCTACGTGGTCTGGGTAAAAGCAGCTCCTAATCTGTGGCACATCCTTGAATAGAGTCATTTTTAGAAAGTGCAGCGTAGGATTTATGACAGATTCTCTGAGCTTATATTTGGGCCAGCCGTTCAGAGGTGTGACAGGGATGGAACGAGTGGGTGGAAGGCACAAAAGGGAAGCCTGAGAGCAGTGGTGCCTGTGATGTCTACAGACGGAGTGTTGCGGCTTTTGAGATAAGAGTACTAATGGTATTTTTATGACGGCATAGGGGTTGAGAGACCCCATCCAGCCTGCTGCAGGGAGCTGTTCTCTGCAGCACTCCATCTTAATTTACCAGCATTTTGTTTGCATTTGGAATCGTGATCATGTTCACCATCTACAAGGCTGCCAGATTTTTTTCTTGAGCTTTGACAGCTTCGGGCTGAAACTGCAGAAGGATGGCATTCGGCCTGATTGGGCTTTAGTTTGGACTGCCTGAGTTTAAACAGAAAGTATGCAAAGCGCTGATCACACTTCCCCACAGGGCTGTCTGACAAAGTCCTTTGTTTGTGGACGTGTGTCCAGAAACTTAGCATATTCATTGTTTCTTTGTGGCTCCTGAGACTCAGACGGTCCCTTCTGAACTTGTGAAATGTTGCTTGGATTGTGCTCAACATAAAGATTTTATTGGATTTATCAAAGCCCCTCCTCATTAGCCTTGATATAGTAGTCGACATTGATTAAGAGCAGCAATGTTGCCCCCGAGCTCTACTGTTATCTCACCCTGACTTGGATTGTGCTCCTCAAGACATTTTCCAACATGTCTCATACATCCTTTTGAAAGGGGTTTCATGTGTAGAAGTGTGATTTAGTTCTGCAACAGCAATCATCCTCATCCATAGCACCTACTGCTATTGAGGCGGTGTCATTTTTCTGCTCTGCAGGCATAGCGAAGGATGCGGCGTGCAGCCAGCGGAGCCCGCAGCCTCTCTCCCCTCTATTTATGTGGCCGATATTAACAGGCGGCTCGTCCCAATAACCCTGAGTATGAACTGTCAGTGACGCGCTCAAAAGAGCAAATGAGCCGGCGATGGCTGTCACCTCGGGGCTGCGGCGCCAGCACAAAAGCCTTACAGTGGAGGCCGGGAATCTGCCGGGCGCCTCGGACTCGTACGGAGTGGCCTCGCTTCTCTTTTTTTCCGCGGGTCTCCGTCAGGTGTGTGGACATTTTTCAAAGTGTTTTTTCAAAAGTGCTTAGTGGGCAAGGTAAAAGTCAAGGAGCAGGGTTTCCGCAGCGAGAGATGAATCAAGAGAGTTGAGGCGCTGCCAGATGTTCCCAGGTAACATTAAGGAGCCAATCGGATTAGCGGAAGGAGCATCTGGCCATCCAGATGTTTCAGGCGTGTGTGTTAAGGTGGAGCCACAAGATTCGGTGTCTTTGATTAAAAAGTCAGTAGTTATTTACTCAAAATTCCTCGTACGTCTGGCAGGGTAGGACACCGTGAGACTCTAAGAGGGTAATCCAGTCAAGTCACATTTATCTATGAGGAGCTTTTTTTTTCCGAAAAAGGACCGTCACGGCATGTTTTCAGAGAAAACAAACTGCTAAAAGAAAGTCACTCATAAAGATGGTGTCAAAGCTTAAACAGGCTGAGTGCATGTGTGTTTTAGTTGGGTTACTGCCAATTTGTTATTTTAATCCAAAGACAGCCATTATACTGCCATATCTGACATGGACAGATTAACCTTTATCACGGGAAACGCAGCCTACTGGCCAAATGCAGACAGCTCACCAATACATAACACCGAGAAAGGGCACCCAAAGTGCTGTTTCAAATATCACCATCCTGGTGATTAAGCCCCTTCCTGTTGAGCCCAGAGGCCAGCCTTTTTAAATCAAGGCAACGTTAGTTAAATATTTTGCCGTCCTATTCTTCCTACCCGTGTTGGTTTAAGTGCCCGTGTAAGCTCTCAAGGCTTGACAATACTTCAAACGCGGTAGCAAAGCAGTCGTGAAGGTCAGGCTCTTTGGAAGCAGGTTCTTTTTCATACAATATTCATCAAAGACTAATTTCATATGAAAGAGACATGACATGTAGGGCTTAAAATAGGGAATGTCAAATGGAAGCGGATGAGCAAAGACTGCCTGGATGGTGGAGAGTCCCAGAAGATGTTCTTTTGTCCCACTATACAAACACCTGAGCTCAAATGTGTATATTACATATGATTCATCTAGTTAAAGTCAAATTAAGCCGCTTTCCATTTAATGTTCTGTGTATCTTCCAGGAGGTATTCTATCGCCCAGAAGCCTTTGGGTGGAAATGTTTCCTTTGATAATTTTTCATGTATCTAAAAAGAGCCTTACACTCTTTCCTATTTGCTCCATTCTTGATGATAAGAGAACTGAGGATTATTTTTCCACACACTCGGGGAGACTGAAAATCTTCTAGGATAAGAACAACAGCTAAATGCGTATTTGAACTGGATTAAACACACCTGTGTTTATAGTCCCATCTGCATCTTCATGCCAGGAATTCTTTTGTTAACAATCACGATAAACAGAAAAAAAAACAAAAAGCAAAACAGATCCTCCTATCTATTCTTTCTTAAATCCAAACTAAAAGTGACCTCAGATGAAACTACACCTGCACAAACTGGCATCCCAGAGGTTGTTGGCAAGCTACTTGTCTCCCAAAGCAAATGGCTGAGAGCCATCTGCTCAAACGGCTCCTAAAAGTGCAGAAATATTTAACTCACCCCAAACGGAGATCAGACTCAGAGACTTCTCTTTATTCAACTTAATCTTTTTTCCTCTTTTGCCCTCTACAGCTGTGCTGGTTTAGTTACTGTTCAACCTCCTTGGCATCAAACTGTTGTCTTCTCACAAGGTGCATGAATATTCATGCTAGTGTAACAGACGCTTTGGGTTATTTGGATACCTATAAGGTTTATTACCCAACAAATATTCGTTGAATAAATGATTTTTTTATCACCTATAGCATAAGAATAAAAAGGGGCATGCAACTCTGCATGCAAGTTAAAAATTTGGATCACACATTTACACAAAAATGGACGATGAAAGATATTTGTTTAATTAATGCTAACTACATTGGCAGCTATAAATAGATGAAGCATCCTCAACACTCCAGAAAAAGGATGTGATATACATGCCTATATGAAATAAAATGTAGCTTTACTGCTTCTCAGTGAATCTGCTACTTGCTAAAATCATAGCAGGAGCTCCGATGCTGGAGCAAAACAGCTGCAGAACGTTCCTCAACTTGCTGAAATATGCATTGATGTGCCCTTAAAGAATAATATCCAGTTGTTTCTGCCTGAGCTTGTGAGATAGATGAAAATCAGACTATATTTTACGATTGTCCCCTGGACATCTATATGATAATATCGTCTGCTTGTGGCTCCAGCTGAACTTCCTGTGTTTCATTAGACACGTATGTTGTGTGTTTTCATGTACATATTGTCACGGCGCAGCTTAAATGGCAGCGACAATGGGAAGGATATGCAAAATGCCAGCAGTACCTATTTATTTCCGCAGAAATAGACGAACATGACAAAACAAAATATGACAGAGCTCTGAGTTAGTTGTGCAAACGTGGATAATCATGATGTTGGTAAAGTGTCCAACAAAAAAGCTCACAGCAGAGCAAGCAGAAAGAGACAGAGAGAGAAAGAGAGAGACTTCTGATGGCTGGACCTTTTTATAGCCTGGATGCACTACTTCCAGGTGCTGAGGTCAAAGGAACCCTCTGACTGGTGAATAAAAATGTTAGGGGGGAAGAAATATAAGTCAATGAGCCAATGTCTCTTAAAGACAGTAAGTATAGCCGGGGCCGCCGCAGCATCCATAAAATCACTCACTGTAACAAGGGTTCTCAATCACGTGGGCACACTACTGCTGAAGCCGTTTCTCCACAACTGCTGGCAAAAATACCAAACACCCATCTGTCAAATACTTGTCAGTGTTGTTGTATAGCTCAGTGAATAATGTTCACGACTATGGCTCAGTGAGTAATGGGTTTGATTGTGTTGGTGGAGGATTCAGTTCAATCCTTTACAGTGGTTTTGGCTTAACCTAGAACTTTCCAATATTCAAATGTCCGGCAAGTAAGATCCTCTTAACGTGAAGGGAGCCCTGCGTGTGTCTGACGCTCTGAGGAAACCTTTAGCTACTCGCCAGGTTTTTTTTTTTTGTGTCTGTGCATATTTCCCTGGAGTATATACAGTGGGGGAAATAAGTATTTGACCCCCTGCTGATTTTGCAGGTTTGCCCACTTACAAAGAATGCTTATTTTTCCTCATCAGATGGTTATCAATTTTTGTAAATTCATATGATGTGATTTTCTGGAATCTTCTTTGGGATTCTGGCTTTCACTGTTAGAATGTACATATGATTAAAGTTATAGATCGTTGCATTCTTTGTAAGTGGGCAAACCTGCAAAATCAGCAAGGGGTCAAATACTTATTTCCCCCACTGTATATGATGAGTTTTATCATTCAGAATGGAGATAAAGTTTCAAACAGTTGCCTAGCTGTAGAGCTTTCATCCAAAAGGCCACTTTTGATTAAAGAATGCATAACAATTCCATCTGAATTTAAAGTTTGACTAAATGATCAAAAGCCAACTCTAAAAAAAATCATTGTGCAAGATGTAACAGAGAAGGGGGGGGGAAAATCACATAAATCTAATTTAGCTATGTTACGTTTCATGGCTTTTATAAGCATGTAAGCAGTTTAAGGAGTTGATGATTAAACAGCTGGTGGAGCCCTAAATCTCTTGACTGGATGCAACAAGAGGAAGTAATTAAAAGACAAACCTCCGTCAAACAAAGTGATCTGGAGAACAAAATTAAAACCTATCAGTTATGTTTCCCTTGCATGTTAATTTGCCGAACAGCACAGTGTAACGTGATATTATTGTTTGGAAGGAGGATGCATACTCACATGGCTGTTTACTCCCTCTGCCTGCAGACAAGAGCTGGACCGGTTCCAAGAACCCGACTGTGGAAGGCTGCAGCTCCATGTCTCTCTGTTCATTTGTGTGATAGGAACTGATTAGGTCTGTGGCTGAGGCAGATGCTTGTCAAAGCTATGTTTTCTGCCACATGAGGATGACTCAGCTTTACGTCCGTTCAAGTTGAATACAGATACTTGCCTCTGGCTCTGCCTCTGACACCTCCATCACAGACGAACTGCTTCTTTATGTCAACGTCAGCTTCTAGAAACGGTTGATGGAAAATCATTGAAAAGAAACTGGCTTATTTTCTAAGGTTATGACAATTGATCAGAAAAGAGTTTGTACATCAACATAGAAACATAGAAGGGGTGATCGCTACTTTACAGTTGTAAGAATAACTTTTTTGTGTCACTGATGAGATTAATCATATCCAGAAAGGGAGAAAAATGGATAATTAACCTCCTCAAATAACATCTACATCCTACCGGACAAGGGTGGCCACTGAATGGCAGGATGAGAATAAAAGTTGTGTGATTTATAAGTGAGTTCCAAAATCAATTATACTGACCAGTGAAGCTGTTCATTGTGGCCCAACAAATTTACTGAGCCACCTAATTTTAGTTTTGGCTTTAATTTGTGAGCATTTTATCTTACCCATCTCTATATAATGAATTTAAGCCCACTTTTTAAACTATACTCAAATGAAAAACTGATGAAAAGGGAGACATTCAGCTTATCAGAAGGTGAAATACTCCACAAAGAGCGTTTGAAGCTGAAAAAAAAAGTTCAATCGAAAATGATATTTTCAATTATTCTGTAGCTCATCTTCTGATCAAAGCAACTTGCAATCAGGCAATTATACTTTATCAAACAAACAAATGGTCGCTATTGATGCTATTTAAAAGAAAGGGGTCAGAAATTGGTTACATAAACATTTCCATATGCTGTGGTACACTTGTACATGCTAATATTAATAAAGGTGTTATTTAATTCCAATTCAACCAGAGCGTCATGTTTTTTTTTGCATCTGGAGGACACATTTAAATATCAGATAGGATCTAATGAACATCAAACATTGTGATGTGCTTCAGGAAAGTGTTTTTAAAAAAAATGGTTTCAGTCATAGCTACCTTGAAAGAATTTAGTCCCCACAATAACTAACACCCTGGGATTGTTACTATTGCTGGTCAGTTACCATTGAAAACACATAACAAAAGTTTAAATTGTGAAAGTTTGATTTTCAATGGAGATCGGAGGTCCATGCAGAATTTATGCTTCAGATTTTAAGGAAACTAAAACATCTCCGGACATCAAACTGTCCACTGAAATATGGAAATTATCCACTGCAGGAGTGTGTTTCCCCCTGATGACTCATTTTCCCGAAATAGCTTTTGGATTAAAACCTGCTTTACTGACACTCCTGCCTGCCTGATTCATGGCAAATCGCAATCGATCTAGCTGTGCATTAAAAAGTGAGTTAGTTTCTTACTTTATTTGCAAATTTATTGATATTCCA